TTGCCAGTATTAAATTCCTATCATGAATCGAATGTAATATCTACCAAATGCTTGTCAAACGTGACAAACCTCTTTGTTTTCGAGGTTCCTTATTATTTACTTTCACAGTTTGTATTGGAGTGATAGGTACCCAAGCGACATAAAATCGTAAATCGAATATTTTTATGTTTTGACAAATAACATGTCATTATGAAGCGATACTACCTATGATTACAAAAATACCAGTACCTTAATATTCATTTAAATGTATTATCACTACATAGTATAAAAGAAAGTCGCTATCCGCCGTCTGTCTGTCCCTATGTATGCTTAGATCTTTTATATTACACAAAGGAATTTGATGCGGTTTTTTTAATAAATAGTGTGCTTCTTAACTCGTCGAGTACCGTCATTATAGACACAATTATAGAACAATAGGTTGCGGTCAGCGGTGACCGCTTGGTGTTTGACAGTTTAAGGAAGTTTCATACGTATAATACATGTGTAGCGATCCGCCCCGGCTTTGCACGGGTGCGTAGCCGTGGCGGGTCGCTAGTATTTTATACGTAACACCATAAATATGAATCCTAATGATCTAAGAACAGATTTTTTTCTCAAAAAGCTTCTATAAAATCGACAGGGCCACAATAAAACCCATAATCCCAACTTAAGTCGACCTGCATCACAAGAGCGAACCCATTATAAAAGAGGTTAGAGGTACATTTAACCGACCTCCTTGGCTCTAAGCGAATCCTTTTCCTACCTATGTAAGTAAGAAAACTCGAGTAATCCTGCAACTGACCCCACCCGACCTGAACCTCCGATTGGCTAGAAAACTAATGGCATAGACGAGAGCAGGTCAACCTCACCCAGTAATTCATTTGATTTTCGACTTTATATGAAAATAATAAAGTTGAAAATCGAATAAGAAAATTTGAAGGAAATGTATAATTTGATTTGCTGTCAAATGTACATTTTGCCTCCAATTTTAGTGAAAAAGCTTAGCAATGGCTCAAGTAATTCTTCCGATTTATCATTGCAATATCAGCATTGTCTCCCTGCGTTATATTTAGATGTCAAATCCAGAAGGAATTAGAGTATTGTCACCTTTATTTATGGTTCGGCTATTCAGAGTTTCGCAATATCTTATTCTTTGACTGTTAAATGAATTCCGCATCGGATTTCGGATCTTCTATTTTTATTCAAAATCATTTCAGGGCCGTTTTTTCAATGATCATGATCAGTTAATTTTTAACTGTAGAATAAAATTGACATTTGACAGTTATTACACACATACGTACATAACATCCCGCCTTTTATCCTCGAAGGCAGAGGTGCACATTATGCCACTGTACAATGTAATACCCACTTGTCACTATTTATGTTATGAGTCCCATGTAATAGGGGGTGAACCTATTGCCATATACCGGGCACTCTGGTAACTTCACTCATACGACGAAATACAATGCAAGCCTTGTTTCACGTTGGTTTTCTTGACGGCCGTGGTATCAGCCCGGCTGAGTCAACCCATTCGTGAACTGAATTAAAGTACGTACGCCATATAGCCGTTAGTAGCTCGGATAATCCTATATCGCACCTTATGTTAAGCTCTTAACCCACGACAGGTTATCAGCTTCAAGCTCTTTTACTACATACTAAACCGTTTATATAAGCGAAAATGTCAAATCTCTATAGAATTTTCAACCTTGTCACTTTACCATGAAATTGAAAATATGCGAAAGAATGTTTGAAGTTCTCGTCGCTTTACTTCTCTTCTGTTTCTTTTGTTTATAAAGTTAGGTAAGACATTCTACATAGGATGGATTTGTGTAGAATTTCTTGGGTTACCTAACTTTTATCCAGGTTTCAATTAAAACGTCCCATACTACGTGATACACGAGCGTACGGCGCGCGCCTCAAAGAGCCATCAGACCACCACAGATGGGGCCCAATAGGGCCGATGCCGATTCGGAGTCGCGGAGAACCTAACGGGTAACCGGGGCTCCGGCTCGACGTGCAGGAGAAGGAACGGGTGGTTTTTAGTCCGTAAGAGTCTGACACTCCCTCCCGCCTCACCCAGGCGGGAGCTGTCATTCGATAATTTTCCCCCCTAAAAAATACTACGAGATGTTTTCTCCCAAACATGCCACTAATAATGATAAAACTAATATTTAAGTACTAACGTACGTGTCCCGATACAACAGAAAATAAAGGTAATAATATACGCTTCAAGTACGTTCATAACCAACCATTCATCTTTACTTATATTCAACTGAATCCTTTATTCGCCACTTGTATACGGAAATTGTGCATCTATTCTCCCTTTTTCTCTTTCTCTCTCCTTTTCCCTAGCAATTAATTCGTTACGGACTCTATGCCCGACTTAAATTTCCCTCGGGGAAGTGTATTTAACTAACCGTTACTGTTTTGTGTCTTTGTTTCTCTCATATACTACTTACGATCTTTAAGTTGTGTGTTAGTTAGAATTAGGAGTATTCGTGTTTAGTTATTGGCCTTTTCTTCTATCTAATTTTGGGCTTATAGTGAATTGGGTAGTTTCCAAGGTATCAAAGTTAAAAATCTAATTAGTCCGTCAGTTAGATAATGAAAAAATATTAGACACGCATATTTTAATTTTATAGTATCAAGTTGCAATACTTAGATAAAATGGCGCTAAGTTTAGGAGTGGGAGGTCGTTACGTCATAACGTGCTACAAAATGTGACACGCTGTGACGTCACACAATATTTCAAATTAATATATCGTCGAAAGTATTTAATTGAGTGAGAAAAGAAAAAATACGTGTCTAAAGTTTTAAAATAATGTACCAGATAGACATTATAATAAAATTTAGGAAACTACCCTATTGCTTTGTTCAAAACATATATTGAATATTTGGTGACTAAACTTATGTCTTTTATTTTTTGAAGGGTGTCATAAATGTGTGCCGAATTGTGAATTGTAATAAAGTGACTAATTGACTATAGATGGAAGGTAAATCCCTAAATACAAAAATGTATCCCTATACAATTATGAATTTATTTATAAAAATAAGATACTTTTTATTCTATTGTAAAAAATCAGTTTTTAGTTTAATTGCTTTCGGAGTAGCCATCAAAATTATAAAACAAAAGAAACTTTTAGCTATGAAAATTTTCTGGAATTTTGGCAACAATTACTTGTTTGGATAGACCCTTTCCAATAGTCCCTTAAGTTTATCGGAGTTGTAACTTCTAGATAGATTTTTAATGCAAAACTTGTAATTTTAATCTCCCCTCATCAACGTAAACCAAAGTTTCTTAATCTTTAATGTCAGTTCAAGTTTAAATCATAATTCATAAAATATTTGACTTTTTCTGCCTCGCCTGTCGAGTTATCACAACTTCGATTATCTTAAAGGTTCCTAATTCCCGAATCGAACAAAGTGCTACTAAAGTTATATAGAGGTTTTGTCTAGACTTCTACAGCCTGTAGAAGCCCAATCTATTATTAGAATTATCAAATTATTCATAAAGAATTAATCAATTTGCCACTATTTTAAGAACAGTGTTTGAATTGAAAAACCTTCTTTGATTTGATCTGAAGATAAACCTGAAACCGTGTAGGTATAGTGCTCACATTTGACTCCTTGAATAACAAAAGTTTTATCACTTCAACCAAAAATCATGATTCATACATTGCAGTTGAATTAAATATTGTCCCCCTCCACTCTATCCTAGCTAGAGGATTCAATCCCGGCCCATTTTTCCAGTCCCGGGATTTCGGGATTATCTAAAGTCAATCCCGGGATCCCGGGACAGTCCCGGGATAGAAAGAAGTAACAGAAAGACAGTAATTTATATATCAAAATCAACTATTAATCATCAGTTCAATCTACAAAAAACGAAACAAAAATAATATTTTCTTCTAATAAAATAATAAACAAACAAACAAGGAACTTCTTTACTTAGTGTAATAGTTTGTTTATTTTGATTCACATAAAATCTTTAAAAAATCAACTTCTAAACACTTGTTTAGATAAAAATTAAAAATGACTTAATTCTAAAGAGATCAGTAATACAAGGTAATTTATAAATTATTTCTTTCAACTTCGAAAATAATATCGAAGAAATAGTAAAGCATCCAACGACTCATCAGAAAGCTTGCTTCTTAATTTGTTGCACAAATATGAAGAGGCAGAAAAAGCGCGCTCAGGCTCAATGGAAGTTGGAGGAATCGTCAATAATTTTTTATAAGTCTTCTCCAAATTATAACCTTGTGTGGAACTAGCTTCATAAAGATTCATTTCTTGTTTAATGATCTCAAAAAGATCCGTTAGCAATTACAAATGAAATCAGATGTGTAAACAAGATGGCCGTTAAAACTTCTAACGTGCGTTTCGCTTCGTTTCATGCATATTTTTATTCTACATCACAAAAATGAATCTCAAAATGCATTGGTAAGAGCATAAATTCCAATCCCGAAAATCCCGGGATACTTAAAAAATAATCCCGAAAATTACGGGACTGAAATTTGATCGGGATCCCGGGATCCCGGGCTTCGGGATCCCGGGATCGAATCCTCTAATCCTAGCCCATATGAAATCCATACATGTTTATACTTTATATTATAGCTAAACCGTACCCTTGCCTCTCTCAGCTGTTACCGCGTCATGTAGAATCCAGTGCCTCGGAAAAAGGATTATAAAAGTGCTAAAATGTTCGCTGGCTGAGTAAGAAACTCTTTTTATTTTACTCCTTGTTACTTTGAGAATATTTTTTATCACTTGAGCTTTATGATATTGTTATCTACCTACCTACTTTAGTAGAGTGGTTATGGAATATCTTTAAATATCGTTGATAAGCATTGCATTTTAAGTTAATTGAACTTGGACACCAGACAAAATTTAATAGTGACATTACGACAATTGACGAAATTTTATCGATAAAATTCATCACAAAGTAAAAATTAACCGCACATAAACCTGCAAACAATGCAGTAAACAAATAAACACCAAAATTCAAAATGGCGGATAATACTCACGTGTGCAATGTCTCGGCTCATCAGACGAATCTCCGCAATCATTCGTACCATCACAGAATCGATTTATCGGTATACATTTCTTGTTTGCACACAAATACTCCGAGATTCGACATCTAGTATCATTGCCATGTAAAACTGGTAGAAGTTCAGGCTCTGGTACATCTTTGGGGCTATCTCGTTGGTAAATGTATACTTCTTTGGTCTTCGGTGCTTCGGTTATGAGGTCGCAGTCGGTGAGGCTGAGAAGCGTTGCTATGATAATTCCAAGGCCTAGGGCTATGTTGCTGGCACCTGGAACAATGGAAGATTAGGTTAATTGTTTGGTGAATTTATTTTTAAAACAAAATTAGGGAATTGATTCTTCAATATGAAATTTATTTGCTTTATCGTATATTGAAGCTCGGAGTACAATATTAAGATACACATTTTCTTCTCTTTTTCAGCTTTAGCTATAGGGTTGATAACATTGCGATTATAAAAAAACATACTTTTTTTTAATCTACAACATATTCTCTTCACACCATTTCAATTACTGTAACGAGATTTTGTGTAAATACAAGTATCGACCGGTCGCATTATTAAGGTACTGTCAACACACAAGGTAGACACACAAGTTGATTAGAAACATAAGCAAACATGGCGCAAGATCATGTTTGTTTTTAATTCCCTTTTGTTGCAATCGTACCCTTATTTATCACACACCGCACTAATTTCATCTTTATTATGTACTGAATAAGGTTTTGTTTGTGTAATTTGAGATGGGTTATCTGAGATCTTTGAAAATTGAATTATGTATTGTATAGTTTCCTTTGAAAACTTGTAAGCAAAAAGTCAAATGAATAACGTAGATGTATGTACAAACTTCTAAGATTTAATTATAGGTCTAATTTAGTAGTAAGCATCACTGTAAATACGGACGTACGCTCCAAATAAACAAATCTAAAACAGACTAAAGTGTGGGAGCGCCATGCTTCGGCACGAATGGGCCGGCTCGACCGAAGTAATACCGATGTGAAACAATGCTTGGATTGTGTTTCGTCATCTGAATGAGGTTACCGGAGGCCCAATCCCCCCCCCCAATCTCCTCAATCCCCGAATCCCCAACAATCCCCAAATTTCTAATACCAAAAATAACGCACTTGTAACACCTCTGGGCGGCGCCCATTGCTTACAATCAGGAGATCCGTCTGCTCGTTTACCGGATGTCTTATTCCATAAAAAAGACTAGTCCTATAAATAGAAATCCCCTTCTTCAATATCTAAGAACAAGATATTAGCACGGATACAAGCCGACTACAGACGGAATCTTTGCAAAAAAACATTATTCAATAGCAGCTCCACAAAAAACAACTTTTCAATATAAGCTCGTTCATCTTTCCCCAACTAGAAAACTTCTTGTTCCCTCGGGTTTGAACTGAATAGCAGTATTTTAAGAGTAACTCATCAATCTTGCTCGGTACTGTCTCATGACATCTTTTCATGTTCCGCATTTCGTATTGAAACGAGTTGAAAAGATTAATTTTATTCTGTGTTTTTTGAAAATTTTGTGTTATTGGGGTTTAAAATCATATGTGTAGGATGATACCGATTTGATAGAAATATGTTGAGGAGGTAAGCTTTGATATATCGAGTATGTCCTAAACGAATGTTTCTGGTATATGTCATCGTTTCCTATCGCTAATCAAAATTTGTAGTAGTACCATTAGATTCCGGAATATCACGTTATGATGCGTGCGATGTAATTTAAATATGAACTTAACTGTACAAATGGAAATACTTGGCAGCGATCGTCAGTTGTCTGAGATTTAGAAACTTTAGGTTCCGAAACTATCTTGATAGTATTTAATACAATACGACTTTATACCCACATCACAATAGTTTCAGATCACAATACTTTGTCTCTTATGTAATTTACTAAAGGGTGTTACTGTATTGTCTAGTAGTCCTTATAGTTATGCTACAAATAAAGATTTTAAATTTTATTAGTGATAAGCCAACGAACGATGGTCTATTTTAGAAGGTTTGTGTTTTGTTTTTTCCCTAATGCGATCTGTCTTTCTGACATTCAGCATTACTTTTGGTGATCTGAGTTAATAGCATGGGAGATATATATCCAGTGACATTATCTCATTTTTTGTTATTCAGAGCAGGTCCTGTGGTACTCGTAACTATAGTCTACGAACTCCTGGGAATTCATTTTCATCCATAAGATGTTGCGCGAGTATATTTCGATGAAGTACATATATTGGATTACTTTGCTATGAAGTGGACAAGTCACAACTTCATTATATCTTCCACAAGCCTCTTTAAACAATTTCTGAACCAAAACCTGCTACAATATTATTATCTTGACTCCCCATTCAGAACACTCCCCAAAACAACACAATAGCAACAACAAAGACCAAAATAACAATGACTAAGGTTCTAACTTAGGTGTGAATTGAAAATTAATATACTTTCAACAATGGGACCACTAGGCTATAACGTTATATCTTTAGATAGTTCATTATTCGCCGATCGTGTACATGCACCGTTGAACATGGATCAAACAATCAGCAGGCGCATATTGTCGGAAATGAAATAGAGGGGAAATTTTACATAACCACAACCACTATATGAATGGAGCCATTTCTCTTCTATAATGTGACGGAGATTGGTTCTGATTGTGGTGTTACTTTTACATCACACACACACACACATACATATACACTTTTTTTTTCTTTTAAAAACGTTGCCCCACACTAGGATTTTCTCCTGTGTCGTGGGTGCGTTTACAAACATACAAGTTCACATACACAATGACACCCAGACCGAAACAACAATTTGTGGATCACACAAAGTGTTGTTCCGTGCGGGAATCGAACCCGCGACACTTTGCACGGCAGCCGGTTGCCCAGCCACCGCACCAACCGTGCAGTCAAGTAACAGTCAACATATTTCTTATTAGATTAACAGCCACTTTTAGTCGACTATTGATCCTTCTTCTACACTAAGGATAAAGAAGAAAGAAGATTTTGCTATAAACTCCATGCTTGATAATCGCGTTGGAGATTATAGTTTAAAAAGTTCAGGTTTATCAAATATACAGTCGTCTGGTTACTATTAAATTAATGTGTAAGTAGTCTTCTTCAGAACTACATAGTCTGATTAGATCGCACTTAAACCTGAACGAGATACTTTTAAGTCCAAATTAGGTTCAGGTTTCTCAAAGAGTGCTATCGCCTGATTCCTATTATACGTAGCCTCTGATTCAGCTCTTATGTTACTACCCGATCTAACTTCATACAGATTGCTATGTAGTACCGTGCTCTGCGCAAATAAACCAATGTCAGCCATTATTATGCAAGTAGTTTCATTTTACTAGTCCGCCGTTTTATAACTCAATAAAAATATTTTCCGTTCCTGATTTCCCTTGCGATTTATACGAAAACGCAATTTCATATTTTTGAACCGTTACCGTTGAACTGTTTTAAAATTAAGATGAGTGTAAAAACATGTTTGAATCTAGTTTACAATTTTTGTGTTGTGACTGTGTGATTATGATAAAATGAAATTACAATTTGCACACGCGAACTACTG